CTGCAGCACGGTTCATTCGATGTGACGCCTTTGATTTGATGCAAGGCTGGCCTGAGCGGCTGCCTTGACCGGCTCAGAAACCTGAGCGCGCCATGGGCTGATACTCATGTTATCAAATACTCGTTGCGCGGCTTCAAGGCTTGATTGATCTTCCCTGCCGCTCTTCCTATATTGACAGCTTCACACGCCCCTCTAGGCCAATCAGTTGCTTAGGCTCTTCGCGTAAACATGATTCTAAACGTACCCTCCTCATACCCCCCAATCTTGCATCTGCGCAAAGCGTCAAGAGGGCCAACACACAGGTCCTGCCATAACCCTCATAAGCATCATAGCTTCACACGGTAAATGGCAAACAAAGCTTCAAGCTCATGGAATACATGAAGCAGGGCTACCGGGCTACGTCAACGAACGTACAAAACGGCAATGCCCAAACGTAGCCATGGTAGCGTCTGCAGCTTTCTCTATCAGCAAGACTTACTTCCTTGCGTTTGCGCAGGTGTGTGTGTGTGTGTATGCGTGTGCTTGTGTGTTTGTGCTCAGTCTACCGGAGTTTTCCGAAGTACTTGTTGCCCATTTAATGCCAGCATCACGAGGATCACGGTCCTGACTAACTTGTCGCTAACGAGCACACCTGAATGTAAATACCCGTTCAATCTAAAACTCCGGCAAGTCAAGGGTGGGATGCTCTAAGAGGGTGGTCCAGATTTTGAGCATCAAACAAACAATGACACCAGATTGAAGGTGAATTGTAGGTGGATGCAGCATTCGCTTCGGGTCGGCTTCGGATTGTCTTTGTATCCAAAACATAAAACATGAAGCATGAAATGAAGATCAAAGAATGCCACAGAAGAATTCTGCATGGCATGCAGCCACCAAGCAGTAGCTTCGACGCTGTCTTCGGCTTTGTCTTCGAAGCCAGCCAGGTGGAACTGCGGCGAATGACGAGATCAGATCGGTGTTTGCTAAATGACGCAGAGCACAAGCACTCAACGCACTCAACGCACTCAAGTGTAACGCTAGCAGGTATGCAGTCCCCAGCACTGCATCAAAGTCCCTTGGACCATGTTGGACCTTCACTTCGGGGCAAAATCAATATCTGCTCTCGGCAAACATCCGCAAACATGCCACCACCACCCTCAAGTCGTACTCATCGTCCTGCAGCTGCGCACAAATGCACTCCGAACTGTGCTGAGGCTGCATGACCTGGCCAGCTTTCCTGACCCCCCAGTATGCGAAAAAACACAAAGAACGGTGCTGTCCTCTTCTGCACCTACGGAGCTCAACAAGCGTGTCCCCACAGTCAGGTTCAGCTTGCAATGGTACAGCCACTCGCCTTCGCATATCAAACAAACCGAATCTGGCCTCCAGCACGACTGCCTTCCTGCCCAACGGAACTGCGGCATGGACGCACAGTGGCCGACGCTTGCCTCATCCAGTGGGTCCAGTGCGAAGGCCTGCACTGCGAATTTCTCAGAGCATGCAGGCAAGAACTGCCAAGAAATGCAAATGCCAAGACATGCTAAGAAATGGCAAGAAGTGCTGCAATTTGGGCCAGACATTTCAAAGCACCGATGCATAAACCGATCGCGAGACGCTGCTAATCGGCTTGAAGGATTTATTGTTGGATCGCGCGAAGCAGTTCTTTCGTGCAAGACTCCGAGGAGCAACCCCGATTCTGGCAGGATCCGCAACTAAACTACCACAACTAAATCCTCGACTGCGCAGGGCGGGTGTTGTTGAAGGGCGCTGTTGCACGTGCTGATGCTGTGCTGTGCCTCCTGAAGAGTGTGACTGAGAGTTGAACAGATTGCCGTTGCCGGGCGCTGTTGGGTGCTGTCAATGGGCGCCGTCGGTGATTGAATGAGAGCTGCGATGCTGCTGTACAGGCACGATGCATGGCAAATGGAACTGCCCTTTTATCCCTCATTGAGGTGGTGCCCGAAAATATGAGTGAACATCCGGAAATCGTTCCGAGTATGGCGCCGTAAAACACGATTAGTGGGTGTCAGGGTTTTGGATCTGCACGCGAAATAGTATTGTCATGTTTGTTTATCATCTCTCCGGTCTTCTTGTTCTCGCTTTGCTTGGTGCTGGAAAATACTACTATGGTCTATGGTGTGTAAACAGAATGTATTGCATTTGTTCTCTCTTAGTGGCCTGGTGCCGGCAATTACCATTCATATGGTCACATTTACTGTTGCTTGCCGCTTCCTTGGTGTGGCGCCAGGATTAAGCGACTACAAGAAATCCATGGCGCTGAGCACAAGCTTCGCACATTGACAAGCGCAAGTCTTTTGGGCTGGCTCCTGGACATTCGCCTCTGTATCCCGCAAGTAGCAGGTGGTTGGAGATGTTTTTTAATCTCTTATTGGGTAAGCCTTTATAATACAGGCCTGTGAAGATTTCGGCTTGTATAGGCTTGTATGCTTCCCGCAACGTGGTGGATTTGCTTCTTGGCCGCTGTTCAGTTGATAAACAGGACTCGCATCATGATGCCTGCTGTCCATCTTGCCATTTGGGGCCTACAGCTGCATTTGTTGTTGGATTGTCAGGGTAGTGGAACTTGTCTAGTGGGCGTGCCTCCACTGCAGGCTACACCATCAGGATGTGGGCGAGCTATAGCATCTTCGGATTTCAGAAAATAGCACATTTCCGGGCCACAATCCAACTGCTCCTTCTGTAGTGCAAATCATCTTAACCATGTCCAGAACTCGTCATGTATCATTTTCCACACGCCAACGCTTCCGCGCAGCTTGCGCAACCCACGTTTCTTGGCTTTCACAACACCTGGGCTTCAAGTAGGGCCTTTCGCATCTCTTACGCCTGGAACGGTGCCATGAATCGAAAAGCGGCTCAAGCGACAAAGTTTCCTTTACACGTGTAGCACGCGAAGTGCTCCAGCTCGAAGTTTCCAACTTTTCAGTACAGGCGCACAGTGCACAAAGCACAGAAGGAAGCAAATGGGCATGAACAAAACATTTACGAACCATGTTCCCTCAAAATCTTCTCACGCCAACTTTCGCCCGTGGACGTGTTGCTGACGCAAAGGGTCAGCAACTCATTGAAATTGAATTGAGTGCTGACCTGCGTCGTGTTGCATGCATGCGGCGCAGCAGCAGTCTTGTTCGGCCTCTGCATCAAGGTCTTCACAATCTTTGAGGAACTTCTCCTTGCCAAAACATGTGTACCACACTACTATCCATGTGAATTCTGCAGACTAGCAATGATAAAAAAAGGAAATAATACAATACCAAAGCTTGCTGAAGCAAGCCACATCGAGAATTCTCTGGACCTGTCATAGCATTGGCCACTCCTTGTGCGCGTCATCGCATGGCCAGAGTGGCGAGCCTGCAATATAGCCATGGCACTGCTTGTCGCTGGCCTTCTGAAAATGCATTCAGCAACTTCTTCCAAAGGTAATTACCATGAAAGATCAGCCAATGACGCATCATTTCGTTACATAACTGTTACCTTGGACGCATCTTAAGGGCTTTGAACACCATTTTACCGGAGGTTGCAAGCCGCTCCTGGAGGTGACGGCCTGATGACGGGAGAAGCTGGAGGTTCATACTTCTTCCTGCCACTTGACATCTGGTCGGACACAGTGAGTGCCCGCATTCACGACTCCCAACCACGTCTCTGCCAATCTTGCAAACTGAGAGTTGCCTAAAGAGATTCGCGGGGCGCTTTCAGGATTTGAGCTGGGCAAACTAGCCGCTTCAACACGTCAGACACGTCATGCTGCCAGAGGTATTCGACGACGTGTCGGCTCCTTGCCATCGACGCTGGCCAGGAAGATGCAAGCACACTGGCGCATTTTGGGGCCCAAAGCGTCTCATGTTGCAGGAGCACTTTCAATTCGAAGCGGCCAAACTCTGAAGAAGTCTTCCGAGAGCGAGAGGACAAACTGCTTTCAACATGTGTTTGCTAGACCACCAATGACCACCAGTCGCTCTCTGCCGCTTTGATTTGGAACCCCGTTCGGCAAGCAACATCAGCCACGCCGCGCCAGCCTGTCATTGAAGGTCACGGTTGCCCCAAGCTCCGACTGAGAACGATTCAAAAACAAAGGCATTCTTGGCACGCCCGTGGCGCGCACATCGAAAGTACTTCATGCAACGTCATCCCTCCCCATCAAAATGTCCATTGCTCAAGCAAGACCCGCGCAGCGATGAGTCTACAAGCTTCTGCGCGCGGAATGTATAGTATCTTGCCAGGGAAAGAATTGCAGGACATTTTGTGCGCTTGGTGCTGAACTGGCCAAACAAGTGGCATGTGGCACCAGTGCAGGAGCCGTGTGAGCAGGGCTGTGCGGGTGGGATTGGTGCGAGAAACATAAAACTCTGTTGGGGCTGCGACACAGCGGTCCGGATTGGGTTGTGACAAAGGGACGTCCGCAGCACAGGCCCAATCCTGCCCACGCATTTGGGGACACTAGATTCCACCCGACTGGCCATGATCGCCAGGTTAGAATTGCCGCTTGCTGTTCTGGTAAAATTCCGGTTTCAAGTCGTGGTCGCCCTCACGCCGATTCTGAGAGATTCTTGAAGGGGTTGGCCCCGGGCAACCAGTGCTCCAAATCTTAAAAGTGGGCAGAACCCCACGTGTCAACAAAATGTCGGTGGCTGGGCGCACGCCATTCTCTGCAAAAAGTGGCGCACAAAAGTGCCTGTCTCGAAAGAACCTAGCGACCTTTCACTTTACGCTGGGCATGCACAAGCTGGGCACGACTTGAAGCTTGCCAGTCTGCTGACTTGAGGAACACCAGCAAGTCACAAGAACAAACGCCTCTACAAAGCGGGAAGCCGCCGAAGCTCAGGTCTTGGCAATGCCCAATCCGTCGACCAAATCCGTCTTGAATGTGCCCTGAAACACTTCGGCATCATGACATCATGATCCATGATTCTTGCTTTACTGCAACATTGCTGCAGCAGGCCTTCCGGAACATTTTCCCCGCATTGCAAGCAAGCAATGTGCAGGAAACAGCTTCGACAGCTTGGCCGCGTGAATGACAAACATTAATTCCTGCGCTGCGTGGCCGCGTCCTGGGTCTGAATGGCCGCGGAGCGGGTTCTACCGAGCTTTGAAGAATTTGAGGCCGTTCCTCGCGCTAGCTGCTCGTACGCGGATGCTGGACACCATGAGCACCTTGCTGACATCGATGCAGGCGCCTGGCGCAAGTGTTCGGGGCCCCCGAAAAACTGGAGAAACCTGAGCTCCAGGCACTTGCCACGCGTTTATCGCTCAACGTCTTCTTGACGTGTGCGAGAAGCACGGCCTTGGATAATTCCATGGCGCCTGACCACCGACCCCAACTGCCTGCCTTGAAAAGCTTGACGTCGACTCCGCTCAAGGGTTTCCTCCTGGGCACCTGGGCTCTGTGCTGCTCCAAAAATTTGACGCGGCAACAGCTCCCTCAGCTCATCCGCTGAATGCCACGCGTGCCCTGACGGTTGCGCTTGTCGAAGGGAATTGTCGGTCATGGCTGGCAAACAACTTTTAGCCTACCTGGGCCAGCTTGTTCCCCAAACGCGTTGCTGAAACTCGCACATGTCATGTAGGCTTGGGAACATTCTGCCAGGTGCTATCTCGGGGCTGTTCCTTGTCGTTAGAGGTTCGGAATGTTTGCCAAACCCTGCCCACATTGAAGCGGGCGCTCCGGGCGGAAGATCATTTGGATCACTGCTTCAGCCGGCAGCCCAGCCAAGTTCAGCAGAGCCAAAGCCCAAGGTTGGGGCTTGCGTGGGCCAGGCGTGTAAGAGCGGCAGTAACAAAGCTTGGGCTGGGGCCACTCAGTCCCAGCCCAGCACCCGGCACGCAGTGCTTGTGATGCGGGTTGGGACGCCAATCCGTGCACCTGCACGCAAAGTCCATTTGGCCCGTTGTTTCGCCAAGTGTCTTTCGAGTCCAAAACCCACCTACTCGAGATTCACCGGTTGTACTCGAAGAATGTGAGATCTCTCCCTTGACCTCAACGTTTTGATCATTTGTCCAGCGGAACTTCACGATTTAAGCAGACTCGAGGCTTCACTCAAGGGAAGACACCCGCCGCTTCATAGGATCTGTCTCACAACTCTGCGGCTACTGCTCCACCGGGTGGACTGTGTTTTGACACTTGAGTTTCATTGCACTTTATCTTGTAGTGGCATACTTGCGCTTGATGTTGGAGCTTGCCTTTGCCTGCTTGCTTGTGCTCAAGTTCGATTGTGGTGGCGCACTCAGCCTCAATCCGTAATGCCCCGCCGTGAAGATTGCTCCCGACCCCTGCGCCGGCAAGATAGGAGCTACACGCCACCTCACAAAGCTCGGCGGCGCGCAGAACGTGAAGAAGAGACTAGAGCGTCAGAAGTTCTTGATTGATCCGCCCAACGACCACCAGGCATTTGCGGCCCAGCACCCCTGCGCCGCCAGCTAAGTTCCATCCTCCTCCTGGCTTTCATCATTTTCCACCCACAACCTTCCCGCAGCCGATTTCTGCAGGTTTCCCTCCGGAGCCTGCTGCCCGTGATCCAGGCCAGCAGCAACTGCATTCTACTACGTTTTCTCGCCCGCTGGTTCTTGAACCTCCTCATTCGCAATTACCAGCTCAACAGACGCAGCAGTGGCTCCAAACCCCTGTGGATGGGACCCCAGGTGATGGCATGTTGGGCCGCAATCCCGCTTATTCCTTCACTCTTCCTGCGACGGTCCGACGCTCCCCGCAACACCAAGCAGGACACTGTTGGCATGGATCCTTGACGTTCGTCTGATTCAGGTCATCCGCGGTGGGCCTCCAACTGGCTACTTCGGCCGTTCGCTCATGGGCGTTTTGTGACCTGGCAGGGCTTTCGGACTCGCACCGAGGCGCTGTTGTGGATCACTGATCCAAATTGCTTCGGAGATTGCAACCTCTCAATCTGCTTACCCTTGAGAAGGATCTTGCTACCTCGTTGGGTCTCAGCGTTGGCGACTTCAACCAAAGGATCAAGGTCCACGAGCACCTGCCAATTTGACCCTCGAATTTCTCGTCAAGCACAGTACCACGCGGCCCGCTGAGGACCCTCGCCATCACTCTCAGCAATGCGCCAATGAACTCCTACAAGCTGATGCACCTCCTCCCGCTACTGCGCACAAGGACGATGCAGTCTTGATCACTCCTCCGCCATCTACACATTCGGATGCTTCTACTCCTGCCAGGATGCGTAGTCTATTCACCATTTGGCCCACCTCGATGTGATCAGCGATTGCTGCAAATAGCTTGGCCCGGCCGCTGATAAATTGATTGTGCGGGATAATAGCGAAATTGCAAGTTGTTGCTGAAATCTGGAGTCTGGCCATCCGGTTGCTTCTGCCTTGATAAAACGGCCATTGGACCCACCTGGTTAAAAACTCTTGCCGCAGGACGTTTGAGAACTCGTACAACTCCAGAGCGCGGCCCTTAGCTCTGAACACCGGGCCTGGCGCTGATAAAACGGGCATTGGGCCTCGCGTTGATAAAACAGCCACTGGGCCGGCTTTTGCTGAAAATAGCTTACCCATTGATAAAACTGCCATTGGGCCTGGCGTTAAGGCATCAGCGTGGGAGGTGCCTCCTTCAACGATCTCACCCGTATCCCGGAAGAGCTGGGCTCGGTTGCATCTGGTCTTGCCACCCAGCACGCAGGCGTCCATGTCCTACTCGGCTTTACGTCTTCACGCGCAGCGTGACCCCGTCTTCTGAGCGGGCACGTGAGGGCCGTACCTTTTCTCGCTCTCCGCGTCGCTTGGGACCTTTTGGTCGCTTCTAGGATCTCATTGCGGGCGTCTTCCGACACAAAGGAGTTATTCGCTGAGGGGCGTGTGTGTGCGGAGTGTCAGATTTACCCTGACACCAACCTTTCTAATTCTGCAGGGGGCTCTCGGACGGGAGGCAAGGAAGACACCCATGCAGTCCTTGTGATGCGGGTTGGGACGCCAATGCGTGTACCTGCATCTGTGACGCAAAGTCCATTTGGCCCGTTATTTCGCTTGCTGTGTGTGCTTCATGTTGGATCTGGTGTCTTGCGAGCCACTCACCGGTTGCACTCGAAGGATGAGATCTCTCCCTCGGGAGTTGAAGCGCGCGCCGTGCAATTTTTTCTCGCTGTTATTGTCGCGCTTTTTCTGTAGGTTGAATCACGGCAACGGATTTTCCATTGTCTGCAGTCATTGGGTAGCGGTTTCCTGTAAGTGTGTCGGGGATGGTTGTGTCACTTCTTCGGTTTCGGTTCGTATTCTTATTCTACTTGACCATCAAGAAACATGAACACCAGCCTTTTGGACCCCAGCCATTCGTCAGATCATGATGCGTTGGGTGTGGCACTACAAGTTGCCGATGTCGCGGGGCAATCTTGAAACAGCAGGTGTTGTTGCTCAAGCAAAGTGCTTGACAGACGACAGTTGGGGGCTGAAAAGCGGAGCTGCGCGCAGTTGGTGTCATGTCCTGACATTTGGCAAGAGCAGTTCTTTTGCAGCTGCAAGGTTCGTTTCCCAAACTGACTGTGTGCCGCCTGCGACCCAAAACCCGACAAACATTTGGGGCAAAGAGGTTTTTGGTGAACAACACGTCCAGGACCCGGTCTCCAGCGTAGCGCTACAGAGGACAGTTGGGGGCTGAAAAACAAATCTGCATGTTGTCTCCATCAGGTCCGCATCCTTCTTCTCCTTCATAGCATCAATCCCAACTGTCGTTTATGTCCTGAGGGAGTTTGTCACCTTGTTCTTGCCCACTCTCCCACGTGCCACACTGCGAATCTGCAGTTTTGTGCTTAGTGGCCAGGCTTCACACATCTGTAGTTTCCTTGGTCTTTCTAGCCTTTGCTTAGTCCGTAGCCTTTGGATTCCCCTTTGTCGTGTCCTCCTTTGTTGCCTTTGTCAATTCCTTTGTCCTGTGTTTTGCCTTTGCCCTTGTTTCCTTCTACTCTTGCGGCCTTTGCGCTTTCCTTTGATGTTGTCAACGTCGCAGGCAAACACCTGGTAGTAGGCGCCCTCAACCCACATGCTCCGTTAGCACTCAAACGGCGTCATACTTTCGCCTTGTGTCTTAAGAGCTTGTTGTCAAAAGCTCGGACACACAGATATCTCCAAATAAACGCTTGCGGCGCTGCTTTAGCGCTGCGAGCGGCGACAAGCAATCCGATGTCGCCCGGAGCGATTGACTGGGCATTGCCCGACCCGCCCAAAGCAGCTGGAAAGTCGGAGGATGTTGCCGAGCGCGCCGCTGGGGCCCTGTTTGGTGTGGCAGGCGCAGTACTTTGCAAAGATCCTGGCAGGCGCGGCATTTCCTGCATCTGGATGAACGCTTGTGTGGCATGGGCAGCATTTTCCACAGGGGCTGGATGTTGTCGGTGTACGAGGGACTCGATGTTTTCGAGCGCGCGGCTGGGGTGCCCGGTTTGCGTGGCAGGCGCAGTACTGTAGAGATGGCTTGCAAATTTCGCGGCAGGCGCAGCATTTCCTGCGTCTAGATGTAAGTTTCATGGGCAGCCTTTGGTAGCTGTCTAAAGGGATTGGATGTTGTCGGTGACGTTTGCGTGGCATGGGCCAGCGTTTGGTAGCTGTCTAGAGGAACTGGATGTTGTCGAGCGCGCGGCTGGGGGGGTACTTTGGAGATGGCTTGCAAATTTCGTGGCAGGCGCGGTATTTCCTGCAGCCTCCTCGTGCCGTGAATGTATTTGCTAATCTAATCCCTTGCTGCCTTGCTGTGTGGTGAAGCAAGTGGCATCATTATACAGCGTCGGCAGGACGCCGAGCAATCACGGGAAACAAACAGCAAATGCGGGGGAGGGGGAGGCCTAGCGTTTCCTTTGCGAGCATGTCATTTCTTTACAGGAACTGTACTAAGACATTTGCTGCTTCCGGCGAGCCCTTATATTTCCGGAATGGCAGCCTGAGACTATGAAAGCAGCATTTGCAAAAGAATTGGCAATGGCTTTAGAAATTTAAAGTGTATGTTTAGTGCTTTTCTGAATTTTGGGCTAGACAGGGGCATTTAATCAGAGGGCGTTTTGGGAGTTCCCAAGACAAATAGGAATTGCTTTTGCCAAAGCTTGTGAGCGCCTGAAAGGTAATCTTGGTTGGCAGCCGGCTGGGGAAACCGGGCTTCTAATCAGAGGCAGTTCGCTAATCAAGTTCTAGCATTGCCATCCCCATCTGTCATCTTCTGCATGAGTGCCAACACCACTGCTAAAGCTATTTCCGAATACAATGTAAAAACATCAAAAGATAAAACAAAAAGCATAGTTGGACCACCGCCCACAGCTGCCCGGGAGACGAACTCCGTTTTTTGTGCTTGAACTCAATTTTTCGTTTTGATTGCTTTTTTGGAGGGCGGGGGGGGGGGGGGTGTTGCTTTTTGTTGCACATTGACCTATT